CCATTAGGTTGGAGGCCATCGCGGTTGGGTTGGAGGCCATCGCTAGTAGGTTGGAGGCCATCACTAGCAGGTTGAAGGCCATTAGGTTGGAGGCCATCGCCCATTAGGTTAGAGGCCATCACTATTGGGTTTTGGTTTCTTGCCGAACAGGGTCCTCCCTGTTCCTGAGGCCCACACGTTTCCATGTCCAAGCAATTGCTGATTGTCATGCATTCCCTGGGGTTCTTTTTGAGCCGACGCACTGCGACCCGTCCGTCCCACCAGCTCTCAAAGCAATTGGGGGTACAACGATTGGTGAATCTATGTGAATCTAATGTTGGCTTCAAATTGCCAAGGCAAGCGAGTCAAAAATACTCAGTGGCACTGACATGCAGTCATCAAATCCCATGCACTTCCACTTCTTGATCCAACTCCTAGCTCGGAAAAAAGACCAGGCCCTACCTGTTCGGTGGCTGGTGTGCCACTGTGTGCCACTGTGGCCGCCACCGTGTGCCAAGTGAGAAATTCAATCCAAGGAGCACTGCAAAGGAGCTCCTCCCTTGAAGCACCACTCTCCCAAAACCCAATGAGGACCTGCCACATTCCATGTTTCTTGGCCATGTGGTCTAGTTTCCAGCGTCACGGATGGTCTAGTTTCGCACCAACTGGACCAAAAGCCAGATCACTCTCCCGTGACTTCTCCCGGCAAAAGCCGCGATTTTGCTGGCAACTTGGCTTGAATGTAGAGGGGGAAGATGGGGGAAGGATCACTCCATGCACGTCCGCAAGCAGCTTCATGCAAACTAAACACTACAAAGAACGGAAGTGGTTGACAGAGGTGTGCCCCTCCCAAAAAGCTACCGAATTCAGATAACGACCGAATAACAACCGAAGAACTACAATACGATCCGACAACAACCGAATTCAGATAACGACCGAGTCACTTGAATTGCCGCACTCGCGGGAGCAGTAGCTATGAGGAAAAGGTACCTCCAGCGAATCGCGATGTGTCGCGATGTGCCGATGGGCACGCAACATCTTTTGCCAGATTTGGATGGAGCTATATGGAGCTCCTAGTAGCGTCCTTGCTCCTAGTAGTATTTGGATGGTGCATGGTCACAGTCCTAAAATGTACCTTCCCAGGATTCAAAGCAGTTGTACATGCTCGTTGATGGCATCTGTTGACCACTGCCTTCACACTAGAGGGAAAAACAACTGGTCTCTCGAGCCCAGAACTTTCCCGTTCTGGTCGAGTTGAGTGCAACATCAATCACATGGTTGCGCACTTAAGCATGCAATTTGCAAAGAATTATACTTGCCAGTTACTTGCCCATCTGCCCAGGGAAAAATGTTCACACCTATGGAAGGTACCAGGTGGCATACCCTTTCACACGTTCCCCTTTGATGAACGATATTTAAGCTCTTAGAGTTGTGACGAACAAGTCACTTGCCGCCTTCTGCTGTCCACCATCCTGCTTGCAGTCCGGGAGGCCCAGGAGACACCTTGGCGAAACTGATGCTCCTCATCCTTGGGGCGGACTACACTCGGCAGACTGCGTTCGGCACATGTTGTAACGCCCAACCCTTGGTGTGTGTGTGTCTGTGATCTGTTGCGACTCCTGTTGAATCAAGGCATGGAGGCCATCGCTAGTAGAAACAAAACGGGAGGTGAAAGTCGGCCAAGTTGTAAGGACGAGGACTGGGACGACATGGATGAACATGCGAGATCCATGTGCCTGATGACCCCATTTATGAGAAAGGCATCATATCAACACTGGCACTGGCTGTGCCAGTGTTGTTCTGATGCACAAACATCGCAAAGCAATGGCTGGCTAGCTCACCTTGAGCAGCACTTTGGGCATGTCTGTACATTCTTCGAAGAGGGATTGGTTTCCAAAACGGCCTCACTCCCGACAGTCCGCCCGTGGATCCGAGCGAAGTGGAGACGCATGTCAAAGTCCGGAGAATCCCTGAAGTTCCAAGAGTCTAGAAAAACGGCAAAGCCAAAGTCACATGTAAAAGCTGCATAAGCTGAGTCGCAACTCTTGTCGCAAAGGCCCGCGGACGTAGTCCTCAAAGCCTTCAGGGCTTTGGTACCTGGGCGAGTGCTGTGTTGGTGGAAAAGCTTCGCTGTGACGAAACCGTCATGTGCCAAAGCCAAATCACTCTGTAGATCGACTAGTCGATCAAGACACATGCAGTTGTGGCAAGAACCACACCGGGTGGACTGATCAACTAGACTCCATATGACCCACGAGCCCTCTGAACCCAACTCCTTACATCTCCTGGCCTAACATCTCTCCATCTCTCTCTGTCTTTCTGTACCTTACAGAGAGAATCAACACCAAGCCACCCCGAAACACTCAACAAACCGACCCAGCCAGCTGTAGCATATGACATGACTGCTACGTACTGCCCAGGTACCAATGCGCAATGGCCGACATCACATAGTCGCGATCCTGGCTGTTACCTGGCAGGAAGAGATCCATCATGGAGTCCCAACAGAGTCCCCCGTCCGACTTGAATCGACCAATTGGCGTCCTTTTGAGTGCCCCATGTTTCTCCACCGAGTAGCTGCAAACTGCTCGACTCAAACTGAAGCTCTGCATCTCAGAGATGAGCTCAGCTCCTCAGTACCCAGCGATTTGGGCGCATTGACATGCGTTTCCACCATTCTGGGCCACAACAATAAGAACCCGTTGAAGGCCCCGCTGCTCTCGCGTCGGCGTCAGGAATCGCGGCAAATCGCCGGGCTTCTGGAACGGTTCAGCCTCCGCAATGTATGCAAGGCCTGCGTCAGGGGCAGCCAACCTGCTATGGCAGCTAGCGCTGGATGTGCCGAGAGCCACCCAGTGAACGCTGCGAAGAAGCCTCGAAGAAAGCAACGGCATCGGACGAAGACCTGATGTTCAACGAATCTCAGGGTGGCAATCGTAACTGTATATAGAGGTTTGTGCCTTTCAGGCATGAGCTCACCGGTTTCACTGGAGGGCCTTCAAGCAAAGTTGCACCCAGGTCTAGCCAACGTTCGAACACCTTCAACACTAGTTGCTTCGGTGCTTGGGCAAATAGACTGGTGCGTCTCTCATCTGACTTCAGCGTAGAAACACCTTCGCCGTGTTCGGAACCGCGCCGACCCCCACAACGACGCCCCCGATGGTCCAAGCAGCAGCAGGCAACATGTCCAGCTACAACGGCCACCAGGACCTGGGCGTCGAATGCCGAGGGAATGGCGAAGTATTACTCGCTGGCATATGCATCGCCCAGCGAAAAAGAAGCGGAAGATCTGGGGGTATGTGCTATGCGATGCTATGCAGTGATGCCATTTTTGGCTTTGCCCAACTCTTAATGGCATCCACCTGCACTTGGACCCTGAAGTCGCTAAGGAACTGAAAGTTCGATGTAGATGGGCGCGAAACGGATGCGCCCCGTGGGGTTCGCGGAGCGATAGGCGGCCAGTTCGAAGATGCACCTGAGCGGCGCGTTCCGCCGGTGGCGCGGCGGCAATCGCTGTGGCCGGAACGGTATGACTTGCTTAGTCCGTCAATGGATTTTTTTAAGATTTGCGTGGAGATGCACGGGGCAAAGAATAGATTGAGTAGGTGAACAAAACGGATCTTTCGTTGTGACACTTGACCAGAATTATAGTAAAAGAGGCATTACTACTAGGAACTAGAAGCTACTAGTAGCAAAGGGCATCTAGGAGTCCTGGAGCAAGGACGCTACTACTAGTAGCTTCTGAAGGGCTTTGGATTTGCCAACAGCCAACAGTCCCGCTGCGCCCGTTTTCACGTCTGGGCGCCAAAGTCTGGATAAATATGGTGGGCTCCATAAGACGCGCAACTCATCCTCAGATCGCTCTCCAGCAGACGTGCATGGATTCAAAAGCTTCTTTTTCTTTTGGATATGGTGCCGAAGCCTTTCTGCCAAATGGTTTGCTCTCCTTTTCAATGAAAAGAATGCTACCAGTAGCTCCTGGCCTTACTACTAGAAACCAAGCAATACTAGGGGCTCCTGGCATCGCCACTAGGAACAAGAACGCTACGAACGGGGCTCCTGGCATCGCTACGAACGGAGCAAATACGCTACTCGTAGACACCTTCATTCAACATTCCATTGAATACCTGTTGGCTCCTGAAACCTCTACCTCCCTGGGCTCTTGAAGTCACCCACCACGCCGCCACAAAAAGGCCTAAAAGCTCGGTGTCCTCCCACATCCTGCCCAAAAGCTCGGTCGAACCCCCAGCCAGCTCTCTCAACGCATCGTCCTCTTTCAGCCAGGCTCAGAAACTGAAAGGAAGCCGCCCAAGCCATAGACAGCTCGTTCCATAAGTTCTCGGTCACTCTGATTCACACAAGCCACGTCCAGAAAACAGGCGTCTGCCACACTTCTACAGCGGGGCAAATAGGGCGCGATCAAGAAGCCCACGGTCAGGAAAATCAGGCCTCGACATCAGCCGGCGGATCTCACTGTTTATCGGTATGCTTTGAACCGATGCTGCAACAGAAGAAACTGTAATTTTATCTTGCATGTCTGTGATCGGGTATAAAAGCAAAATTTTGAGAAGAAAGGGCAGAACAAAAATTCTCTCGATCCTGTTATAACAACAGAGACTGCAGTCCTATCGCACAACAATTCCGCTTGCTGAAGTGGATCCTCTGCGTGATCAAGGTGAATCCCACTCGATCGAGTGGAACCTCCGTTTCAGCCCCTGTGAACCGTTTCGACCCATTGTTCCCCACGTTCGAAGCTGAAAGTGGCCCAGGAGGTTTGTCCACACCGTGGTCGGCGCGTCGAAGTTGGGTAAGACCATCACCGGCCACGTGGGCAAGACCTGCAGGTCTGCCATTCGATCCACTCACATCGACAGGACGGGCTTTTCTTGTCGGCGAGTTCTTCACGAAAGTCCAACACAAGAAGGAAAGGAGGTACTAAGTGCATACTTCGATAGTGGTCAGAGATGAAGCCCAAAGCAGCTTGGCCTCGAACCTACTAGCGATGGCCTCGCCACTCATAGGAACTCCACGTGAGGTCGCACTGTCGCATCCTCAACATAACCCAAAATACTCCATTGGCCTGATCCGACCTAGCTGCCGTGCGATCCGACCTAGCTGCCGTGCCCCCGTGCCCTCAGGTTCGGGCCTTGCACAAGCAAAGGACCACGGAAGTTGAAACGCCAAGCAGCCAAAAAGCAATGGCAACTGACCTGGGAGATTTCACCATTTCATATGCAAATGGTTGCTTAAAAACCAGTGCTGTAAACATCTTGAGTTGGGCTCCATTGATCTATCCCTTCGTTTTTGTCATGTGTTTATTTATATTGGCGAAAATGATAGAATTGGACCAAAAAAGTGGTGGAGACTGATGAACCGATCTGAACGTGTAGCCATCTTCTCAATGGGTTCAGTCATCTTAAGAGATGGCAAATTGTGGATGATGAATTGCGGATTGCGTGCTTACCTGGGCTTACAGGTACGAGCCCGCTTCCTGCCCAGCCACCAGCCACTTTGGAGCGACAAGGCCAGGAATTTCTGTGTACCTTCCAAAAAGTAGCGTTCCCAGTACTAGTAGTAACAGGAAGCTACTAGTAACAAGTGCCACGCTAGTAGTAACAAGTGCCTTACTAGTAGTAACAAGAAGCTATTAGAAACAAGCTTTTTGTTACTACTAGTAAGGCACTTGTTACTAGAAGCGATGCACTTGATTCCTAGTAGCGTTCTTGTTCCCAGTACTAAGGTCAGGAGCTACTAGTAGCGCACCTCGCGAACCTCCATCCTAGTAGCGATGGCCTCCACCTAGTAGCATTCTTGTAACTACAGGTGAAACGATTCCCAGTGAAACGATTCCCAAAGAAGCTTCTAGCTCCTAGTACGAGTAGCGTTCTTGTTTCCAGTATTCCAACTGGACTTCAGTGGCAGCTCAAATTTGAATGTTGCGTTTTTTGGACGTTCAGCTTGTAGAAGGACGTATATATGCTCAGATTTCTGTGTTGAGCTTGTCACCCAATCATCATAGGGTTGACCTGCCGGGTTTGTGTTCAACACTTGAAAACCGATGCTTCCCCGGCCTGATGTTTGCCAGGTGTGTGAGAGGAAGATGTCATACTTCAAGGCTGGATGCGATTGAGACCAAAGAGCTTCCCCCTGGGAGATGCTGAGCTCCGCCTCAGTTTCTTGCAAACCTGGTGACGAAGCTCAGTTATTGATCACTCCAACCGAGGAGAAAAAGTCTCGCTCTTCTTCAGCCAATGAGTTCTGAGTCATCTAGAAATTTCCCTTCTAACTCAGCCTAGAAGAACCCTTGGAGAAAAACATCTCCTCCACCCGGTCTGTCAAAAACACACCCGCATGCCATCCCTGGCCAAGCAGAACAATGCTCACGGAGCGGAGTGGCGGGGTTTTTGGACCACATCTCCCCCAGCCAATGTAAAGTCCTCCTCAATGAGACGCTTCGAAGGATCTCCTTAGCATGTGCGAGGTCCAGGGCCTTGGACCACCCTCGAAACCTGGTTGTTGGCGGCATCGCATGGCCGTCTATGGTCCCCTTCATAATATTCCTTGATCAATGTGACTGCAACCAGTCGGAGCTTTCGATCCCAAAACATTACCTAATGGATTTATCCCAAGATGTCCATAAAAAAATACACAACGCGACATGAGCTGCTCAACTGTACGATGCCTGTTGCTGCAGCCAGCATCCTTCAGCATCTATCCGTCTGAAGGAACCTGCTTGGGGGGACGCTCTCCAATCGCTGTCAGGCAGTTTGTTGATTCGCCAAGACTCCGTGTCCACAAGTAGCTGCCGATTGGTGTTCTGACGCTGAATCCGTCCAAAATGGCTCCTGAAGATCTTGCTGTTAGACATTCCCCAAACACTTCCCCTTTCAACCAAAGACATCGAAATCCATGCCCTTCGAAGTCTCCTGCAGCTATTAAAAGTCACAGGCAGCGCTTCGCCGGTCTCTTCGGCGTTGCATGCGTCGAGGGTCACCGCGGCAGGCGCTTTGGGCACATCACCTGGACCTGGCGTGGCGGTGCGACGACGGTGGAAGAACGAAAGAAAGACAAGGTCTAAAGATGTCCATAAAGACCAAAAACATGTGGAAAAAACAAAGAACGCCAAAAAGAGAAGAAACATCGGTGGCCAGAACAGGGAAGACCACCCTGTTTTGGCGCGACTCGCACGGGACAATCGGTGCGTGCGAAGGTCAAAAATGGAGACCGGACGTGCGTCCAAAGTGATCCTGAACGATCCTGAATGCAATCATAACCTGCTTTGGCAATGGAATTGCTGAATGAGCAAGACCCATTTCCACTGCAAAGTAGAGAGCAATGATGAAGGTCAGTCCAGTCAAATGAAGCAGTGATGTCCCAGCCTGTCCCGGCATGGCCCGGCACCTCTTCAATGGCCTGTGGCACCTGGTCCAGCAACAGCTTAGGTGCAACTGAACCGTTTCTAATTGCTCTGGCAGTTTAGCCAGGATGATGTGTTTTGCCTAAATGGTCGACATCCAAGCTTAAGAAGATTGCGAAATCTGGCGATCTTTCACATGGAGCAATGTAGATTCAGTGCCCCCAGTGGCCTTTGCTCAATGCACCCACCCCTTCAGCGGCTTGGTTGTTGTTTTTTCTGATTATTTTTTGCGCCTAACAATGTGAAAAGAACGAGAATGGGCAAGACATTGAACAACACGCAATCTAAATTGAACGAAATATTCGTGCTTCTGCTCTGGTAGCATCACGGACTGTGTTCGCGTTCCTTTTACCACACACCCGCCAGAGCCGCCGAACCAGCCTTGTCTTCATGGCAGCAGTTGCTTTGACCCATTGGAGGTCTGTCGAGTCATGGAGGTCTGTCGAGCGCGGACTGACTTGGTCACTTTGATGTCTTCCACCTTTTGGCCTGTGGCCTGGGCCAATGTGGTTCAGAATAAACCGACATGCTGACTGCTGACATGCCTCACTTGTTTAACCACTTTGGATGTTCCAGTTGGTCCCATTGCAGCGTCTTGAAGCTGATGGACTTTAGGGAGGCAATGACATTCAATGGCAATTTCAAGAACGTCGACGGTCATAATAGATTTAGATGCTGCTAATGCGAGACCAAGGCATCAAAAGCCTTGGTCTCGCGTTGGTGTTGTAGCTACAGTGATAGTGATCCACAGCTGTGGGCCAAAATGCCATTTCGGCGCTGGAAAAGCAACATCTCTCGTTGACGAACCCCGCTTTGGGACCATTCGATCCATTTTGAGGTCCAAACATGTAAGCTTCAAACCCAAAAGAGAATAGCATCAAGAACTGTGGCCAAGACTATCCATGCCACCCATGCAGATTCTGGGCTCAAGTCTTTTCATGGACTCAACCATTTATGCACCACCTACTCTCAACAGCTCTCAACCCAACCTACTTGGAAGGTCATGACATGTGCTAAGACACGGAACATCTGAATTTCTCCAACCAGCCACCTTCATAGACCCAGCTCAGTGCTGCACCTTCAAACATCCAAGAAAACTCGTTGGTGCTGTCGTTTTGTGAGCCAAAGCAGGTTGTAGACCAACTGCCACCCCGCCTTCCCTCAGCGTGGAGGCCGTGGAGGCCGTGCTGCCTCGGATACGGCTCGACGATCGATGACCGTTGCGAACGGACCGGTGCAGAGACTTGTCTGCGGTGACTCTGAGAGCGAAAAACAGGAAGTGATCGAAACTCTAAAAATCAGGTGTCAAGCAAGACAAGTTCTAAACATCTTCAAGAAAGAAAGGAACCAAGTCAAGAACCAGGAAACGTTCATAAGTCTATGAACGTATGAATGCATAACAGAACCACCAGCACCAGCACCACCACCACCACCACCAACAACAACAACAACAACAAAACATGGCCAAGGAAAGCATTATTAAACACAAACAAACCAGCTCGCCCATCGCACCATTTTGGGCGCCCTGTCAACTGGAGGTCTTCGTCTTAAGGCTGGAGTCATTCAGCATGATTTCAGTGTCATGAAGCACCTGGCGCTGGGCATGCTGCTGGGCATGCTGTTGGCTTGGCAAGCGGGGAAGTGACGAACGCATCCTTAAATTAAAGAACTATAAAGAACTGGTTTCAATTCAAGGATGTCAACTACTGTAGACTTTTTGTATCCTCGTGTGTTTGCGTGCAATCCCCCCTATGCCAAGAGAAGCTATCAAAACTCCAGGTTGTTTGGTGACGAGGGGAAACCCTCATTGAAAAGCTTGCCTCAAGATCTTCAACAATGGAAGAACATCGATCACATTCATGAAAAGCACAGAGGCATCGCATTGGCACCGCATTGGCTTCTGTGATCGTCGACTGACCGGTCATCAACGATGAACATCTTTACGCTCTCGACACCTCTGCATCTTCTCTGGACAGCTCCTCCTCCCGACATGAGGCCCTTAGGAGCACCGAAGACGACGCACAGAAGACGACGCACCGCGACGGACGGCGAGGACCTTTTTGGGGGGCACAGGGCGGGCGCAAACACGGTGGATCATATGGATAGCATTGGATAGCTCATGATAGCTCATACAGACTATCTGAAACAGTGAGGTCTTTTGAACTATTTGAGGAACTCCTCGTGTAACGTCTTTGTCCTCTCACTGTCTAAGCCGTACCAATGCAGGACTCCTGGTCCTGGTCCGCAGTTGGAGAGATGACCGTGCATGTTTTTCAGGGTTCCGGTGATCGCATGCATTCCCCTGCTAACAAGAAGCTAGTAGTAACAAGTGCCACGCTTCTAGTAACAAGTGCCTTACTAGT